TTCTATAAATTTGTAATGAAAAGAATTAAAGTATTTTTTTTCTTTTCGGAATAAAAATGAATAATTAATTATTAAATTCTCATTTCATTTCAAGTCCTCATTGAAAAAAAATAGAGAGATAATCTTTTCTTTTATAAAAAACAAACAAACAAGTGAATAAAACGAGTTTTTAGACAGTAATTAAAAGAAATAAAAGCATGAGAGAGAGAGAGTGTGTGTGTGTGTGTTCGGATGAAGAGTTTTATTGTAAGATAAGGAGGGGTTGTGGAAGTATAGTATTTTCAAAGAGGAATAATAGATGGTGAGAAAGTGAGAGAGAGAGAGAGGGAGGGAGAGAGAGTGAGGGGGAAAGAACAAAATTATCATTTTCTACATGAATTCATTCTAAAACATTTAGAGTAATAATAATAATCATAAAGATAATGAGAGTTTGAAGAGGATTAATATTTGAAATGAGTAAGAAAGAAAATGTTAATTAACAATGACAGTTTACTTATCAATGATTTTATCTTTCCCCCTCCCTCCTCTGTACTAGGTATATGCATTCATTCATTCGTTCATTCATTCATCTTTTATGCATTAATGTTACTTGTATAGTTTTTTTTTTTTTCCAATAGAGTATATGAATGAGTAAAAGGTAGAGGGGAATTTTTACATTAAGCATCCTTCATTCAAAAATAACTAGTTGTTCTGTATGTAAATGATACCTTTGGTTATCTAAGTAGAACAAAAAAAAAGAAAAACACATTAAAAATCAATCAATCGCTATAAAAAAAAGAAAGAAAAATAACAAATTATAATTGAATCAACTACAATAAAAGGTCTTTATAATCATTGAGTTACTTGTTCATTTTTATAAATAGGCAGAGATAATGTATAGACCATGGTTATCATTCATTAAAAACAACAATAACAAGAAGAGAACGCACATGTAGTAGTGAATATTTGAAAATGCTTGAATATAATGATTATTGTTTTTAATTCACTTGATATTGTTTTTACTTGAATCTTCCCATTGATGTTTTTAGGACTGAAATTGATCAGTCTCTTTCTTATTGGCATATGTGTATACTGTGGGTATGCCTCGATATTGCCTTAATTTACAAGCATTATATTATTGTTTTTGTTTTACAGTCTGTAATTAAACAACAACAACAACAACAACAAATGCAACCAAACAAAATCACAGTAATGTGCTTAGTAATTGTATTTAATAATAAAGTTATTATGAGTCATTTTTTGCATTTTTCTCTTTTATAATTTACTTATTTGCAGTATTCTATTAATTAAAATGGAATCAATTATTTTCAAATTACTGTTGCACATGTGTATTCCCCTTCTGTTTTAGATGTATGTTTGTGATATGGATAATTATATGATGATAGAAATGTACCTGTCATATGTACATCTAACTATCTATCAATATGTGTGTATGTATGTACACTTATTTAGTGATGTGTTTTAGAGCAAACTGAAACATAATTGGTTTCACTCATAGTTTTAGCAATTATCACCGGAGTCAGACTAAGCTGTCTACTCTCCCCTTTCTCCTTTCTTCTAATAGTTGACTGGATTATGAAGATATTTGAGGGAAAGCACGAAATACAATGGACAACTCAGAAACAGTTAGAAGATTTGAACTTGGCAGATGACCTGGCCATTCTATCCTGTAAACACGAACAAATACAGATGAAAACAACTAATATAGCAGCAGCCTCTGCATCGGTAGGTCTCAATATACACAAGAGAATAAGCAAGATTCTCGAATACAACACAGAGAACATCAACTCAATCACACTTGATGGGGAATCGGCTAGAAGAGGTGGAAACACTCACGTACCTGAATAGCATCATCCATAAAAAAGGAGGATCTGGTACAGACATAAAGGCGATGATTGGCTAAGCAAGGGCTGCATTCCTACAATTGAAGAACATGTGGAACTCAAGGCAACTGTCAACCAATATCAAAGACAAAATATTTGATACGAACGTCAAGACAGCCAGTTCTACTGTACAGAGCTGAAACTTCGACAACTACCACAACCATCATCAAAATCGTACAAGTATTTACCATCAGTAACAGTCTACTGCGGGAGAGAAAAAACCAGCTTCCAGCTGAACAAGAAATTAGGAAAAGACAATGGAAGTGGATAGGACATACATCGTGCAAACCACGAAGCGAGCGCCAACTTGGAATCTTGAATGGAAACGGAAAAGAGAAAGGCCGATGAACACACTGTGTCGAGAATTAGAAGTAAATATTAGAAGAATGAATAGTAACTGCAAATGACTGCCCATGACAGGGTTGAATGGAGAATGCTGGTGCGTGGCCTATGCTCCTTCGTGAAGGATAACAGGCGTAAGATAAGAAGATTTAGCAATTATTGTTCGGTGGACAAATCAACGTGTGAGTAATGATACAATCAACAACAAAATGAATAACAACATGGGAATATTTTAAGGTCAACAAGAACCAATCAACATCGAGGTGCACAGAACAAGCTGTGAAACACACATGGAGAAATTCGAACACTTCACTTCTATCCGAAGTTTGTGCTGATGATGTCGTTCAGAAGAACGATGAAAGCTCCACGACCAAACCATCCAGCTCAGAGAACAAAACGCCACCAAAATCATCCACCTGAGCTACAAATCTTCTCCACCATCTCAAATATTTTAGCCTTAATACGAATCTTAAACGCTTAAATTTATACGTAAAATTATGTATTGGAAAAGACAGTTACAACTATTAAAAATATATTACACGACTAACTTACATAGTACAAATGGAATTTTGAATAGTTTAAAATGCATTGATAATTCTGAAAATTCTTATCTTAAGACATTCAATTAGTCTAAAAACATTTAATATAACTCAACGTTAGTTACTTAGTAATATCGATATTCTGGTAAAGCATCTTGAGAGTTTGTTGAAATAGCATGAATATTTTTGAATAATTAACTGTAAAAGTTCATTTCATACGGTAATGTCAAATCACTCACTGCTCGAATAATCATGTCTCACATTCTGAAGCTGGGTGATACATGTTCAAATCGTATAGGAGAATCGGTCCTCTCAAGATTACATGTACACTTTTCTAATGATTACCGACTAGCTCGAAGTGCAGATCAAGTAGAATTTGCCCGCTAACAACCTAACATTGTGTCAACATGTCACTTGTTAGATAGTAGAATAATTTTCTTGACTAATTATGTCAGTTAATTTGTGCTAATACAATATAAGATCTGAATTTACAGTAATCTTTTCTATCTTGTAACAAGTGACATTTTTCATATAATTTCTTAAAAATATTTCAAATCAAGTTGACAGAATGTATTTAAACTATTAGATTACAAACAGTACCTACAAGATAAAAATCCTAGTTCATTAAATATCATAATGGGTAAGTTACTTTTAGGTTAACTTGCGATAATGGAGAAGCTTGATAGACGCATGACACTCATAACAAAACTCTATTGAACATATTATCAGTATTATATTATTAGAAAACAAAATTCATTACTGTGTTTTTGCTTGTTAAATATTGATATTGTTTCTTGATAACAATTTCCATTTCAAAGACATTTTTTTCCCGCCTTTATCTACAATAATCATCATCAGAATTTTTGTTTACACTTTCAAATATAACTGAACATTCTCTTATCATAATAATAATCGAGCAATTTTCAACTAAGAAAATGAAAATAAAAATGACAAGTAGGAAATAGTTTTATTCTCTATGCTTTGAAGATATTTAATCCTAACGCAAATCAGCATTACTTGTAATTGAATTTAAGTTACCTTCAATTAGTTTCACTTTCTCTCTCTTTCTTTCTTCTTTATCTTTCTTCGTTATCTTCTGTTTGAATAGATAATTATATTAGCTGTATTGATGTTATCAAGAGATAAAACTTGAATTTCATCGTTTGCTTCGTTAACATAATTAGTTTTTTTTCCAATATACTAAGATAGAGAGATAGGTATCGTCGATGGGATTGGCTGGATTTGGGGTTATTGATTTTGACTCAGGTAATGGAAATATGAATTGTTTAGTAATTGGAAGTAGTCAGCTAAAAACTCTGCTTGGCCTGTAGGAAACAAATCTACGTCGTCCGTATATACAGTTTTGTGAACTGTTTAGAAGATTATTTTTAATTCTAAAATGAGATTCATTGAGCAACAGTAGCATACAACTTAGCTCGATGAATCTATATCCCATCTGATGAGTCCCATATTAATAAAAGACCCGTGTCTTAGATTCCACTGCTACCCATATACCAAATATACTCAAACTTTTAATATCGAGGCAATTTAATCAGGACACATATATAGCAACAGAAGACTGACTACCTTCAGTCATGAATATGAAAACGAGGAATGACAAATCCTAGCTAATAACAAATAATTTTTTAAAATTAACTTAATATTAGTACTACTGTAGCTAGTAATTAAATATGATAAATTAATCAAGAAATAACAATCAGTGAAATACCTAAACAAATCTGCACTCATTTATTCAACTTATTTTTTCTGGTGCAGATTCATGTACTTGGCTTCGAGCCACACTCTAATTGCGTTATCCAAAGTAATACACATGAGGAAACGTCTGAATCTACTAATTAGCAACCAAAATTTTAACGTCACAAGCATTGATCCATCACTCTTTTTGTGGAGAAATCTAATTAAAAAGCTTTGATATTGGAGAGTGTTGATTTAATTTACTGTTTGGCGGAATTTCATGAATACAGTTTTTTTTTACCATAAATTGTTATCATCTAGAGAATTTTTAGGCACCGTTCTAGTTTTAGTTTCCTAATAAGGGCCCACCCGTGACCATAAATATACATCCTGTTGATAATTATATCAATGATTTCAAAATACTATCTTTTAGACAACTGATATGACTTTACACATGACTATGCTCACATTTTCTTCCTAAACCATTACGATTCCATAGTTGTTAACTATTTACTTATTGTATTTTATTATTTTAATTCAGGGTCCGGATGCTGAATATTTCGAATTATTAAACCATACAACAGATTCCCGAATTTCTAACTCATATGATTCTAAACCTAAAAACATTAAATCCCTACATCTTATAAGTCGTTTCACTTTAGATCGTGAACGTAAATCCGAGTATCGATTAATCCTTTTAGCTTATGATCAATCTGAACAGTCTAAATTACGTAATACAGCTCAATTACCAATTAGCATTTATATTAAAGAAGTGAATGAATATGCACCAAAATTCAATTTCGGTATTAATATTACTAATCAACAAGGTAATACTATTCGACAACAACTATTGAACACTGATCACACATTTATTGGACATTCTAATCGATTTCATCCACAAGTACAAATTAAATCATTTTCATATGATTCCAAATTGATTGTAGGTGAACAACAAAACCAAGACCGGGTCGAAGATAACAATCATATTAAATTATCAGATTCCAATTATTTAATTCTTGGATTACCTGAAGATATCAATGTTGGGAGTCGAATCTATCGTGTACAAGCAATTGATTTCGATTCAATTGATTTCTCTACGATTAATAATCCATACCAATCTTATCAATCAACACATCCTAGAATTACTGTACATTACTTTATTGCACAAGAAACTGATCTCGGAGTTAAACATTATTTCCGTTTAGGGAAAGAAGATGGTTGGATAATATTGATACAACGATTAGATTACGAATCTGGTCCACGTAATTATATATTGCCTATTGTGGCAATTGACTTTGGACGTCCACAGTTGAGTAGCACACTAACACTTACTATACAAGTATTAGATGTCAATGATGAAGCTCCGAGTATTACTATACGTGGTATTGAATCGACTAATATAAATCATAATAATTATCAACGTACAATTGGACATTCAACAATGGACAGTTTTAATCCTACTCATTTTCAAATATTAGCTGTAAGAGAAAATTCTCCAATTGGTACTTTTATCGCAAAGGTATGGAAAAGTGATACTTTATTTGTGTATGAATAGTGTTGGTTTTCATGTTTTATTCGGCCAGTGTTATTCACCGAGTTAATCATAGACTACTCGAATGTTTATTTCTTCTGTAATTAGCTATTCACTATTCATCGTAAAAAAAAAACAACAGCATAATGGACACTGGATTAAATTTACCACTAAATGAAACTTCGTGAAACAATGACTTATAATAGTGAAATTTAATTTGATTCTTGCAATAATGTAATATTACACAAACGAACACCAAAATCATTGGTCAGCGAATACATCATTGTTTTGATTGAATTATTTGTTTCGCAAAAGAGCTCATTAGTCAAACAATTTATAATGTTCAACCTTTGATATGTTTGGGTTTAGCTTGAAAGTACCCTTTATGCTGAGGAATTGTGAAGACCGGTTTGTTAAAGAATCTGAAAGTGTAAAGAATAAGAGAATAATCGAGCTGAGAAATCAACAAACATACAGAATGCATTTACATTTAATGATGAAAACAATCAGTAACAATCTGTATAAAATCAAGTCTGAAATTAACAGAATCTCGAAAATTGATATTAGAAGTTAATAGTTTAAAGTTTCCTATGCGTCAACGATTGATATTTTTTTTCATTATTCAATTGTCTATATGATAAAATCTATTCTCCACTGATATTGACTTAATATGTTTATTTGACCGTTTATTTGACCAGTTCTTCGGTATATAACATCATAAACAAATTTGCTACATTCACTCGTACATTAAACAATTTTAGAAGACTTGAAAGCACCACTAATGATGAGATAGACATTGTTTTACGTCTTGTAATTGATAAAACTATTTCAGAACAAATTTTTAATAAATATTCGAAATTAATAACTGAATTTCTTGAAAGTAAACACTTTCAATTCAGTTTCGGTTTCATTAGTCACTTGAATAACATCATAATTTGCAGTAGTAGATACCAGTAGCCAGTAGTTTATACTAGTGTTCATTTAATGGAGTAATTTCACATAATAAATGTTTATTTTCATTGGAAATAAGATGTTATCGAAATGACATATGAACTAATAGACAAATACTTTCTTCATAAGCAAAGGTGGATGGTGGCTATCAGCGGAATCCAGGACTCGTCAGCTGGATGTATCTGCATCCTAGAATTGACGGTCACTCTGGGACTCGAACCTAGTATCATTCGCTTCAAACGCCACCCCGTTATCCACCTGTCAAACGAGTCCCAATAGCCACTGGCTCAAGTCCAAGAATAAACACCGACTCTAGGCTGCAAGCATATCCGGCTGACCAGTCCCAAACAGGACGAAACGCGAGTCCTGGATTCCACTGTTAGCCACCATCCACCTTTGCTTATAACGCTTGTGACTTAAGGTATCCGACTTACGATGCACATATCCCAATAAGAGGCTGATCAATTAAAGTCCTAAACATCTATGGGAAGATTTAAACAAATAATACAAGATTAATTTAAATACTTTTTTCGTTTTTGAGACTTCTTATCGAAAGTCGGATATTACTTCTTCCAAATTTCGGTCTATAACTTCTAAAATTATCGAAAAGTAAAATATTGAAAAGTGCAGTTCCATTAAATCGAGTGTCATCCCGACTATATATCAAGTTAGAACACAATAAATATATGATTTCAGGTTTTTATCAAAGCTCAGTATCATCGGAATCCTTTCAAATGTCATTCTGTTGTTTTCACAATGTATTTATCTTTGAGCTACTTAAATCTAATTCAGTAACGTTACGTGTTTTTCTGAATTTCTCACATTGTTGAACAACAAAATAGGTGTCTGCTAGAGATCGAGATACAGGAGCTTCAGGAGAAGTGGAATGTTACTTAAGTGAAGCAGATAACTTTGGTCGAAGAACTCAGGAATCTGGTAGTTCACTTGAATCGGATTATTTAAAAGGTCTTCAAAATTTTGCGTTACACCATGTTGAAGATGATTCAATTCATTCAGCCACTATAACAAACAACATTGAATCAACAGTATCATCCAGTTATATTCAACACAAACAGTCCAGTGTATTAGGACGTCATGATACTGAGTACATACTTATGACAAAGACAATTCTAAACAGAGAAGCTAAAAATTTCTATTTTATTTATCTTACATGTCATGATCATGTTGAAAAAAAATCTTACTTGAGTTATTCTTTACAACCCAATAATAATATACCTTCATCAACTTCAACAAAACGTCTTTCTTCAACAAAATTATTAAAAATCAATATTTTAGATGAAAATGACAATGGACCACAATTTGATCGTTTACGTTATGAAGTGAAAATCTTAGAAAATTCCATTGAAAATACTGAATTAATTAAATTAAATGCGATTGATAAAGATGAAGAAAGTCATATAGGCTATCGATTTGTTCAAATCACTGATCAATTTATACAAAATTATACCGATTTAAATTTAAGCACAATTTATGCACATTTTAAAATTGATTCAAGATCCGGTAGAATTAAAACAACCAATATACCATTAGATAGAGAAGTTAAAGATTCAATGATAATACCTGTTATAGCATATGATGATGAATTTCCAAGTAGAACATCACATGCATGGATACATGTGGAAATAGAAGATGTTAATGATAATATACCCAAATTAACAGGGAATACAACTTTTTGGATAGATGAAGAAGATACAACTATGGAACATTTGATCAATGGTGGTAACCATAATCGAAGTAGTAGTAGTAGTAGTACTACAACTTTAGGTACAAGACAATATCATTCAACAAATCACCACATATTTATTGGACGTTTAAATGGTGAAGATTATGATATTGGAGAAAATGGAAAAATCATCTTTAAATTAGGCTATGAAAATCAATATAATATTAATAGTCCAAAATGGTTTTTACGTTCAGATGGTAATCTATTTGTTCAATCCATTAGAATGTACAATGATAGAAATATTGATAATAATAATAATTATTATTATTTAGATCGTGAAAAAACACCTTTTTATGAAATACCAATTATAATTAGTGATTTAGGTAAAAATCCTACTTTATCTTCAACAGTAACCATTACAATTAGTTTAAGAGATGTGAATGATAATTCACCAAAATTTTTAAAACCATCATATAATAATAATAATAATAATTTAAATCTAAGTCATATTCATGCTGATCATGATCATACTCGATCAACTTTAAATGATCCCAATTTGAAAACATTAACTATACCAACTGAACGAATTAATATATACAATATAGATAATACAAATCCTGGTACATTAATTTATACAGTTCATGCAATTGATTTAGATGATGGTGATAATGGTAAAATTATATATAAACTTGAAGCATATGAAGGTTATTGGCAATTATCATATAATTCATATCAATCATTCAATAATATTAATCATCATCATCATATAATAAATCAATAAATCATTATTTTATTATTGATCAAATTTCTGGTGAGATACGAATTAATCAATTAATTACTAATGAAAATTTACAAAAAATACCTAAAAGTTTAATTATTTTAGCTGAAGATTGTGGGATACCATCAAGACGAAATTATGCCTTATTATATATTGATTTTATAAATGAAAAACAAAATAAACAAATAATGAACAATAATAATCATGATCATGATAATTCATTATTAAATATCAATCATAAAAACATAAAAACTAACTTAGATACTATTGATCAATTAATGAATTCATCAATTGATTTGAATGAATATCATAAAAATCAATATATGGGATTTTATTCAAATAGGAATATCAAAATCCATAGTAACAATAATAATCATAATCATAATAATCCACAATTGAAATTATTGGATAGTGATAAACAACAAATAAATCATCATCAATCAAATTTATTATCTACATCCAAAATGAAATATACTCAATCAATGAATAAAAAATTATCATTCAAATCACCATCATTAATTCAATTACAAAATAATCAACAAAATAATAATGATTTAGAAAGATTAATACCAATTTATGAAAATTCTATAAATACTGAACCAATGGAAATCATTAATCCATATCAAAATAGTACTGAATTAATTACTGGTTTAGGTATTGGATTAGTAATTATTATTTTAGTATGTTTATTATTATTAATAACTTATGCTTTACATGGTGTACAAACGATTCGATTAAATAGAAATGGACTTCATATTGATCGTAATAAGTTACATAATAACACTATGAAACAATATCAATATAAAAGTGGTGAGTTCTTCTTTTTTTGTGTGTGTGTGTACATGATATGAGTTTAGAAAATGGTTTTATTGAGTAAAAATAGTTGATTTCTTTTTGATATGGTAGGTGCTACTGATGTCGATGGATATAAGTAGTATAGATTATCAATCGAAAGTGAAGGTTAAAAAGATCGGAAAAAAAAATGAATGAGAACAACGAATGATTGATGTAGAATTGAGAAAACAGTGAAATCTAAGATAATAGATTGACATTTTGCAAATGAAGTATTTACTGTATGGTTCTCAGATTTTACTAAGGGATTCTGTAATTTTGTGTTCAAATACATTCGATTGTCTCAACTTGCGTTCTCATTCACTAAAATGATATTATTATCGATGAAATAACAGTGGAAAATTTAAAGTTAAACAATTCAGCTTAAAGCGAACTCGATAGCTTTAAAATTTTCATCATGAACAATTGATACACTAGATCATCTGAGGACTTATATTCATGATTAGATTTTAATTCCTAAGATACTGATTACAATGAAGACTTTTCAGCATGAATTTTCTAACAAATCCCCATCTTATTCCCATTTGACCTGTGAATATTTAAACAAAAATATCTTTGTATTTAGAAATATTCTTCAACAGTGATTAGGTGTCAGTTGTTTAATAACATTTACAGTTAGTTTAGCTCTCATGAGATTTAGGGAGAGAAAGACCGAATGCACTAGGGACACTGAGAAAGATCCTGAGTCATGTGAAATAAAATTTTTAACCACTGTTATTGATAATTCCTCACACTCAAGTCAGATAGTCTGCATCTACCTACACAAGTCGATCCAACGGTTACTGACTTCACGAACTGATGCCACATTTGATTTGGTCACTGTTAGCTTTCCTTTACCCTGCTCATATATCAGCTTTCCAGCCAAATTAAAAAACTCTGATTATTGGTCTAAATCTCAATGGTTTAATAGTGGTTGAAGGGATCTTAAATGTTAAGCAACATTCAACTAGATATCATTCATAACTGAATTATGATGTTATATTACCAGGTTAATAAATTCCATGGAAATTGTTCATTGTCGACAGCTTTTTATTATTCTGATTATTTCCAAAACGTCTTGTACGTCGATTTAAAATTGTTTTTGTTATATTAAATAAACTGTAACGCTGTTCACGGTATTCATTCCCTATAAAATTTCAAATTTTGCTTGTCAGATAGAGATGAGTTTACCTGTAACGTTTTATTTGTCTTCAGGAATTTTGCCCATTTTATGGTTCATTTAGAGACTCAGTGCTATTTACTAGAGTGTTATTTTCATTTTCAGTCCATGTGGTTATCCATATCTGGCTTGTATTGAAATATCAACTAAGTACATCTCAATATATCAGGTGAAAAACAGATTTGATGAACATTCGGGGTCAAAACGAAGTCTTTAATGATGATCACACTCTAACATGCAGCACTTACTTACGCCTGTTATTCCTCGTGGAGCATGGATCTCCAATCAGCAGCTCATTTAATGAACAGATAAATGACTGGAAATCCTAGATACAACATACTTCGGAAAATTTGTAAACATCGAGGATAAACTTAGCCTAAAATAATAAAGTGACTAATTAAAATGTATGTTTTTGAGTATATCTGCGAACTTATGGGTGATAAGAATTAGAAACTTGTTTGTATTGAATTGTATTTGGATAAAATTTGTTCATATTACTTTACTCGTTGTTCATCGGTCAGTAACATACTACTTTCCATTGTAATTCTCTTTTTTAATAACTTGTTTTTTTAAATAGCATTTTATATATATCTTAACCACAGTCCTGTACTTATTATTGACTTACTTCCACCAAAGAGATTTTTTAAAAATTGTACTGAAAGGCCGCTCGTAATCAATGAAGTGAACCAAGTCAGAACCAATTGGGAATATTCATCAACAATAACATTGTAATAATGATTACAGTGTGCTTCAAACTGAGACTGAAACTGGAACTATCGTATTTGAACCCATAAGCTAAATGACTACATGTTTAGTTAGTTTGATTGTGTATGGGTACTCAGTGGTTTATACTAGTGAGGGGTTTCTAAATCTTAGCAAATTATTCATTGGTCCTAACCAATGCTTTAGTTAATTTGTACTTACGTATTGATAAGTATTGTAATTAACGATTTGACCCTTGCTTCTTATTAGCTTTCTGCTTCTTAGAAATCATCTTTTATTGAATCCCAAACAGAAAACAGAAGACAGAAAGTATGGAATAAGCTTTCTTCGAAATTCAATGTATGCTCAGAAAACAAGGGTAGTGGTGTGTTCTAGACTCAAACATTTTGGAAAACATATTAAAATTGATTAGGAACATCGATAATTGCCCAGCCATATTAACTAAAACATTATTCATCGTTTTCTAAAGTTCTCTTTGAAATTTCTGAAGAATGCTGATTAGTCGGACTATTTTCAGTTTTTTCCTATCATCTGGGATCTTCAATGAGATACTGAGGGGTTTTAATATATATTTATATATATGATTAATTTCGCAGTGATTCTTTATAAATTTCAATGCCCTGGTATGTCCGAGAATGGGGAGAGTCCGCTCTCCCTCTCCAAATGCTCTCACCCGGCCACGCGTATATAGCCTTTGTCAGGGGAGTCCTACTCACTGCCTTCTCGTGGCGGGAGTGTTGTTTACGAAATTGAGAAGACGAAAAGCGAAGGTCCGGCGCTTTAACCGGATTCCAAACCAATGGTGCACATGGGCTCCAGTATCCTGCAGAACAGGTGGCTTATGAACCAATTGTTGGTCATCGGCTTCCATGGGACTGCATCTCCTCACGATGCTCCACTGCCTTGTGGATCAAACCTTCAGGTCGAAGGCTCGGGGAATGGCCCCCTAAGAAAACCACCTGCTTCGGTTTTGGCACCCGTGCAGTATCACAGCCCCCACACATATCGAGTGAGATTTGTGTGGCGCATATTTATTTGGTGCCTCCTTGTACCAATATCTGTTAAAATAAATGATAATAAATAAATCAATGAAATCTTCCATTTGATGCAAGTTTATTTAAATAATTTTTCATTTGTTTTCTTGTTTCTTATGCATTTTTCAGATAAAAGCAACAATAACAATCATAACATGAACAATCAAATCGATGGAAAAAACAACGATCATACCAGTAAATGGAAACATTTCTGTAATGTTATACAATTGGTCATCAACCGTAATCGTCCGTCGGTAAGTTATTCTCTGAGTATATTTAACATTAGTACTTCAAGTATTACAGAGAGATAATTTTATGAGAATAATAGACGAATTCAAAACTCATTTTATCAGAAGTGTTTTTCTCAAAAAAGGAAAATCCTTTTCATTAATCTGGTATTGATTGATTAAAATCGAATTTAGGTTTATTGTGTTTAATATAGATTGGTTTGCATAAAGGATACAAGTGAGTAGCTATGTGAACTCAGTAGCTAAGTGAATAACGCATGGGCATTTGAAGTGAAAGGTAATGGGCTCGAGTCTCATAGTGAACATCAACTCTGAGATACAGATACATCCTACTGACGAGTCCGAATTAGAACAAAACGCTCCACGTCCAATTTTTTCTATATAAAACATAAAACATACCAATCAAATTATTATTATTCTAATTTATTTATCGATCCATTTCGTCAAGAGGTTGCTGCTATACTGGTCGTCTTCTGCATTTGTTATTGCATGTGCGATAGAACAGCCAGATCATCTGCGGAGTCTAGATCATCTAACTGCATCCTATATATCCACTGTATCCCATGCTTTTCTTCAGATGTCGATGTCTTCATGATTCAGTTGATCACCAGGAGAAAGAGGAAGAGTGAGAGTAAGCAACCTTACCTGACACCGATCTTTACTTCGAACGAGTTTGTCAACTATCCTCCATGAGCGATTTTTTCAATTCGTTGTACAGGACTGTTCTCTGGGATTGTCTATTGAAGAAGGGTGTGCCTGAGAAGTTTATTCACACCTTAAATGCCCTATATACAAACACCTCAGACAGAGTGAGGGCATACAACCATCTCTCTCCATTGTTCCGTTCAAGCAGTGAGGTTAGACAGGGTTGCCCAATCTCACCATTCCTCTTCAACTTTGCCATCGACGACATTCTGGAAACAGCTCTGATGGATGTAAGTAATGGCAGTGTGGATTTGTTGCTTGGAGAAAGACTTCTCGACCTTGAGTATGCGGATGATATTGTCTTACTGTGCGATAATGCCCAAGCCATGCAATCCGCACTTAATCAGTTGGCAATCAATGTCCGTAGGTATGGTATGTGCTTTGCACCTCCGAAGTGCAAAGTACTTCTACAAGAGTGGCAGGATTCTAATCTTGTATTCACTCTGGATGGTGAGGAGATAGACGTAGTCGAGAAGTCCGTGTATCTAGGTAGCTGCATGAGTTCTGGTGGTGGCATAAGTGATGAGATCAATTCACGTATAGTGAAAGCCAGAGCGGCTTATGCCAATCTGGGCCATCTTTGGTGCCTTCGTGATGTCAGTCTGGCTGTAAAAGGTCGGATCTACAACGCGTCCGTGAGAGCAGTTTTGCCCTATGCTTGTGGAACCTGGCCTCTCCGAGTTGAGGACGTTAGACAACTGTCTGTGTTCAATCATCGCTGTCTCCGAAGGATTGCTGACATTCAGTGGCAACACCATGTCAGTAATGCAGAGGCTCGGCATCGTGTGTTCGGGCACAGAGATGATAATTCAATTGGTGCTACCATCTTGAAACACCGACTTCGGTGGCTTGGACATGTTCTCCGAATGTCGTCCCAGAGAATTCCACGTCGTGCATTATTTGCCGACTCTGGGACTGGTTGGAAGAAGTGGAGAGGTGGTCAGTGCATGACATGGTGTCGTGGCATGAAAGAAAGCTGCAAAGGACTGGCTTGTGTTGGTCCTTCACGACTCCCTGGCTGGGGTCCGAGAGATGGTGCTACACAGTGGCTAGAGACGTTATCAGATATGGCTCAGAATAGAAGCCAGTGGCGATCCTGCTGTAACCTTCTTTTACTTTCTTCATAAAAAGTGGATGTGTCTCCCTTACTTGAAAGATTTCTTCCGATTGTACCTTTGCGTTCCCTGATTACTAGCACATTACCTTACACCAATCTCTTCGTCATTGTTCTCTCTTTTTTTTGTTGCGCTCCTTAGCTTTTTTTTCTTTCTTTGTATTCCTCTCGAATTTTCATTGTTTTGTGTGGCGCATATATATTGGCTCTCTCTTGTACCAATATTCATGTGTCCAAATAAATAAATAAATATGCACGATTTTGCAATTTAATGCATCACAAAAATTCTGTATAATATTGACTATCTTCTGAAGCACATCGTAGTGTCAAAGAAGCCTCCATAGAAAGATTATGAAATTATAAATTCAATAATTTACACAGTATTAATTGTCTCACATATTTATTCTTAGTAAAATTATAATAAAATGAATATCTATTGTTTATTCAACTGTGAATAACAAATTCAATTGACTAACTAAATGAACTTTTCATTCACATTACTAATAAACAATTTAAGTAGGATAAATGTTATAATTTATCAGTTAAATTCAATCTTATCATTTTACAGATAAATGATTTTTTTCAATTTAAATGATACATTTAAAATTGTATCAAATTGTGAATAGATTGTTTTATTGAAGTTTTAAAATATTGAGATTTTTAAAAAAATGATGGCAACATTTTTAAATTGTTAAACTAGGCGCGGTTTCTTTTTTCAAAGTAAAATACTGTCTATGATGGATAGTGGCTAGCAGGACGCGCGTTTCGTCCTATTTGGGACTCGTCAGCTGGGTGTACCTGTATCTCACAGAGTTGATGTTCACTCTGGAACTAGAATCCAGTACCATTCGCTTCAAACGCCATCGCGTTATCCACTCAGCTACTGAGCCCTAATAGCCACTTGCTTGTGCAAGCGTCCTAGATTCCACTGCTAGTCACTATCCATCATTGCTTACAAATAGCTTGTGAATTAAGGTAATATCGAGGCATACGCACAGTATGCACATATGCCAATAACAGACTGATCAATTGCAGTCTTAAACCTCAATGGGAAGATACAAGCCAAACAATATCAAGTGAATTAAAATACTATATATTTCAAAGTTAAATGTTCAGTTGTTTTATTGGGTATAATTTTTTTAAAAGTTTAAATAGATCTCAACGTCTTTTTTCGGAGGGTGGGTATTTAATTAATTTACATTGACTAGATATTGTTAGTATTAGATAATGTAACGGTTAGAATTGTTGACTTTGTCTTGGATAACCTCCGGTTAGACTCTTAGAGTTCGAATGTTTTTATCCCAAAAGCCATTATTATTATGTCTTTACTAGGAAAAGATAGTATTTGTAATTCAATCTAGCGTTGCTGTCGTTTTTAAATCAGATATTCCGCGAATATTTTCAATAGCTTCTTATGAACATCGTTATTATCATTAAAAAAAGTGGAAATTTGTAGAAAATGACAAGTTTACAGACCAGTTTACACAACTTCTTGACTTTAGCTAGATAAACACCAAAAATCGAACTTTTCAACAGTCCTCATTGATAACCACCCAACTAGTGGTCAATGGGAGGATATTTAGATCTCATGATGAAAACATTTAATAATCTAAAAATATGGTATGGCGTTAAATCTTTATGCTGTCAATGTGTTAACAGTTAAAGTCATTATTGTTGGTTAGTAAACATTATAGGACAGCAGATAATGAATGTTCAAAGTTTACAATAATTCTTTCAATCGACTAATGCTTTCCATACATTGAACAAATGTTAGTGTTTTGATAGAAAGCAAAATGATAATTTTGAGATGGTGGAGAAGATTTATAGCTTAGGTGAATGATTTTGATGGAGTTTGGTTCTCTGAGCTAGATGGTATGGTTTAAGGTCAACAAAAACTAATCAACATCGAGGTCTACAAGGTAAGCTATAAACCACATGTAGCGAAATTCGAACACTTCACTTCTACCAGAAGTTTGTGCTGATGATGTCGTTCCGAAGAATGATGTAAGCTCCACGACCAAACTATACAGCTCAGAGAATAAAACTCCATCGAAATGATGATTAAACACTGATTATACTATTTGTATAGTTAATAGTTTATAACTCTTCCTACCAAACAATATATCTTTTAATTGATAATAAACATTGTTATCTAAGATAAAATCTAAGAAAAAAGACGATAACTTTTAACTTGAATATATATATACTGTACATTATTGATTTTTTAGAATAATGAAACAATGCCGAAAAGTATTAAAACCGTGAACTCTTCAAAATCATATGCATTAAATCAAGATAAAAGTGAGTGTAACCTTTGTAACGTTAGTTTGTCTTCTCAATGATCTTTCTAATTTACATAAATACGGAGTACTTTAGTGCACGAATACTCGGGTGAGGAAGATCAATTTATTATTTGATGCAAAATCACAGAGTTTTCTTCATAAAATAAAACATCTTCTATCAGTTGTCTCTTAGAAACTTCATTGTTCTTTCATTTCTGTTATTATTAAAATTGCTATCTATTTACATTTCTGTTTTATTTGATTTAATCTCCTCAATGTTTCTGTTGACAGGCGTTCCACTTTTGTTTGCTGTTATATACTGCTTATGTCTGCCGACATATATAGCATACACCATAGTATAATAATTTAAGTAAAAACAGAACCTTTAAAATGATAGAGACTTGTATCTCAGGTGAATGTTTTTGGTAGTGTTGTAATCTTTGAACTAAATTGATTAATGGATAAGGTTTGGTTGTTTTGTTCTGAATAAAAAAATTATCAGCGGTCACTTTGTACAGAAGTGAAAATTTTTAGTTATTCCATAATTGTTATATTCATTCATACTGATGGTCTTGTTTATAATTCATTTTGTTGTCTTCATTTATTCTGGACTATGTTAGCAGTCTCATATAGAGTTAGTCAACAGAATTATGTCGAATCCTTTAGTTCGAAAAGCTAATGACTTGAATTGTATAATAACATAGGGCTATCAGTTACTATAATTATATATTATCCTTCTAGGAATTGTCTACTAATCATTTATAGTGTTTATATTTTACAGATAAATCATATAATGTACTCGGTATGACAATGGATATACCATTTTCTAATGATTGGGAAAGTGTTCATAGTGAATTTAATCCAACCAATCCAAATCAAAAACAGATTAGTAATGATAAAAAGCTTAATTATGCTAACAAAACTATGAATCATCAATGTATTTATCCACAAATAAGCACATTTGTACCTGTAATGAATTCTGTTGAAATGGATACAATGTGTAAACATGATACTTGTGAAATTTCACCTAATGATACAATTAATACTGTTGGTAATACAATTACTACCAAACATAATCAACTTTTACAGACAAATATTTCACAAGATGAATCACAACCAGAATTACATAATACTAGTGATGGTAATAGTAATAATATTAATAATAATGAATCTAACAGTAATCGTTATCCACGTATTTATACTGTTTGTACAGACGGTATTCTACCAATATCAGATTATATGACATTAAATCTTCCAGATAATCATAGTCATTATGTTAAACATTTGATGCCGGCAAATTGTCATTTTTTAACAAATAATATAGACTTTCATAGATCCAATATGACTGTACCAAAAGTTTCATTTCCGCATAATGATGATATTTATCTTCATCGTCATCATTATCATCATCATCATCAACATCAACATCATCAACAACATCATGAGCCGTTAATGAATACATCAAATGAATTGCATAATCAATCTCTTCTTCTTACTCAAACTCCTGTAACCTATTCTTCTTCATCATCATCTTCATTGAATTATTGTACTTCACCAGGACAATATTGTCGAATACCATCAACAATAAATAATAGTAATAAATTATCAAATTCATTAAAAAATTGTACAAAACAACATGTTATGATAAATATATCAAATGATCAAAATCAAATAAATATTGTGAAAAGTACAGAACAAATAAATAAGATGTTAAATAATATAAATCAACAAAATATTCCGGAGGATTCTTTCAAAGCGAATTCCTTGAAATCGGGCAGTTTTGTATAACAATAATAATAATAATAAGTACTATTATGATCATGATTACTCTGTCATTATAGTTTTTCTCTGTGAACATATTCACTATTGTTTTCCATCATTTTAATCTAATGTTTAATCATATTCATTGAATTAAGTTATTTAAGGTAAAAGAAAAAGAACAAACAAACAAACAACCGTTTAAATATTTCAATATTCAATGTATCAACAGGGTTTTTTAATTGTTTTGTTTTATTTACCTTCTTCTTCTATTCGTCCTTCATTAAGCACAAAAAATGTGTTCTTTTAAAACACTTTCCTCATTATCTTTAATATATCGAATGGAAATATATATATATGTATGTGTTTGTCTATTTGTTCGCTGTTTTGTTTTTTTGATCATGGCATTCATAACGTTGTATTATTTAAATGGAAAAAATTTTTGAAATAGGTTTCTTTGTAAATGGGATTCTCAGCAATAATATGAATACTATAACCTGTTTGTGTTTTGTTTTTGATGGAGTTTTGTTCGCTGAATTGGATGTAAAGTAGCTAAAATATCATCCATTAATCTTAGTATCACCGAAATATCTCTATCCTATATTAAAATATACTATTATACTATACATTTGTATACATTTAAGGTTACCCAAATATGTCATATTTGTCTTGCCATTTAATGAATTAGTTGAAAGTAAAGTCATATATCGATTTTTTTTCCAATTATTCATTACTACTTAATTACGTGCATAATGATATAAAGTCACTTAATGTTATAATTATATGTCAGATATAATTGATAGACTTCAAACAGTACTAAAGACTTAAACAATATGATAAGTATTATGTTTTAAGGCGGCTTATGGTATAATAATTTCAGGATTATAATTGATTTGGAGGTTTATCTAATACAAACAGAATCTATACAAACTAAATAGACCGAACAATTAATACACAACAACACTTCAATGTGAATAATTCACAACTGAATAAGAGAGAAAGAGAAAATTGAACTTTTACGATAGTTTTTATTACTCTCAACAAAAATTAAAATTGTTATGAGACAACTATTTATATTGGCAACAAGAATAATCTCAAACAGTGTAGTGAAAACAGTCAACTAAAAGCAAGAATAATCATTTATTCACAACAACTACAACAAAAAAAATTAGATAATTCGAGACATTCCTAAAAATCATCCATTCAATATTTAAATAAATGTCAAGTTGTTAATTATAACATGAGACATGAACGGCATCTAACCACCACTTTGGGATCCTATAAAGCTTGTGCCATTGGAGGCTCTTTCATAAACACATTGTCGAAGGTTAATTAGCGTGGTGTTATCTTTTCCTTTGATCTCTCTTGGTCTTCTCACATTTTACTGTTACTCGTCATTTACTCTTACAATTAGTCAATTCCTGCACATTACCTATTATTCTTTACTGTTTTCCAATGTTCTTTCCCGGTTTTTTGAGAAAGGACTTTGCTGTATTGCGGAGAGTGCTGCAGTCAGTTAGCAAAGTATGTAGTGAATCTTTTGAGGTCATAATTAATATGGTTGTAGATAGACATCTAAAGTTATGCAAACTCCTGGCAGGTGTTATCTTATCAGATACTAACCATCCCCTTCACTCATATCTTTCCCCTTGTATATCTTCTGATAGAACGAGATGTATTTACATTAAAATCCATGCACGTAAGTAAAAGTATAAAAGTTCTGCAATACCTAGCAAATATACTCTGTGACGAACAGGTTGTTAGAGTTAACCTAGTCAATAACCTGTATTGTTAAACATGTCTCTGATTTGGAAAGTTGTACAGTTTTTCAGATTCGCTTAACCTTTTTCCTTTCTTTTTTATTGTTTTTTTTTCGTAAACGAAACTTGTTGAAGTACCTTGTGCTGAGGATTCTAACATTACTTTACACTATGTATTATTCAGTTCACTAACTTAACAACAACAAAACGGTAGAAAAGTAACTGATTTACAATTTGTAAAAATTTAAAGTCTACTGAACAACTTCAAAAATAAAGTTCGACTGAACCTACAAGATAATTAATTTAATAATAAGTGATTTAAATTTTATTTCGATAGTTGAAATCATGAGTGAATTGAAGCTGGAACACCATGGAAAACCTGGATGTACTGGACGGCCGTTTCATCCTAGTATGGTACTCCTCATAAGTGGGCATCCACGACCCCCCCACACGCGAGATTCGAACCCAGAACCTATCAGTCTCGCGCGCGAGCGCTTAACCATTAGACCTTTGAGACGGCCGGCATCCAACGGTGTTAATGTCTAACTTCAACCAATCCACGAAATTGCGCCACCGTACACCAATATCTTCAGTGAGTTGATATCTCACAACTGACCTGATTGAACTCCACTGATAACGGCTTCTCACAAGAACTCGAGGAAATGCCTCTTGAAGTCAGTCACTAGTGAGCAGATGATTATTATCAGAAATTAAATTTTATTGTAAATCGAGAAGAAAAAAGTGTCTTACTTGATTATTATTATTATTATTTTATCCTTTGGGATTTTACCTTATTTTTTCTAGGAAACTTTTGTTCTGATTAATGAAATTTTTGTCTCGATTCAATTATAGATTGCGCGATGGATGAAGGGGTGTATAAAAATGGTATTTAATGTCAACATTTCGATAAAATCAATGAGAACAAAAAGTGATAGAATAATACTGATACGATGCTTAAAGATTAAATCAAACAGTCAATTTCTTTTTATTGATTGAACAATGAATGACTAACAAGCTGATTACTTTTAATCCCCTATGATATTTTATCCCATTTATTTTATGTTCATATTTTGTAAATATGTTATTTTGATGACATGAAAAAAATTACTCATCTAGTTAATGATCTTGCCTTTGATTTTTAATTATTCAAGAGCCTATAAATCAATTATCCAGTCTCATGAGTAATCATTAATCGGTCAAATCAATAATATTTCACCCATCTATTGATTAGTAATCTATTCATTGATTTTAACAATTGTAAACTAAATCTAATCAAATCACACAACAACAAAAAACGCCTCCTTAACAAATACTTACACATTGTGAGTTGTTGCTTTTTTCTAATATAGGAAGAGGGTATTTCAGTATTTAATCAATCCTACTGATTAAATCAAGACAGGGTTCAAACAAACTGAGATTATTCTTATCTAATACAAAAATAAAATTTTCTATAAAAGGAAATTGTTATTTCACTTCAAAACATCTATTTATGGAAGTTGTTTTACCCGCGTCAAAAATGTTTAAATCTAATGAATTCCGGTTGACTAATTTCAATGTGCTTTTATTCAAAACTAAAATGACAACTGCTTACAATTCATTTGGTCCTCATCAGCTGTTTACAACCTGTGATATTTAAAAATCATAATAAAAAAAATGGGTTTAAATTAATTACATGAAAGAGTTTAGTTGGAAGTTACTTTGAAGGTATATCAGTATAAATAAATTTGATAAACTGAATAAAATATATATACAATATATACTGTATTTAACAGAACATACTACAACATTCATAGTAATAAAATATCAAAGAGCTAAAAACAAGTGGTTATGCAATACCATCAGTAACAACCTACTGTGGAAGAGAACAAACCAGCTTCCAGTTGAAGAAAAAGTTAGGAAAAGACACTGGAATTGGATAGGACATACATTATGTAAATCATCAAACTGCATCACGAAGCAAGCGCCAACTTGGAATGTTGAATGGAAACGGAAAAGAGAAGGGCCGAAGAACACACTGCGTTGAGAATTGGAAGAAAACATGAAAAGAACGGATAGTAACTGGAAAGGATTGCCCATAATAGCTTTGGGTCGAGAATGCTGATGGATGGCCTATGCTCCTCCACGAGGGATGACAGGCGTAAATAAGTATACTATACTGATATACCTTCAAAGTAACTTCCAACTAAACTCTTTCATGTAATTAATTTAAACCCATTTTTTATTATGATTTTTAAACATCACCGGTTGTAAACAGCTGACAAGGATCAAATGAAATAAAATGAATTCATGATATTCTGCTCAAATCTTAGTTCTTGCTTTGTTCAAGATGATAAAGGGAATTACGTGTATTAAACTACTCACATGTCATCCTATCAATAAATAACTTTAATGCATAGTCACTTGTTCACCGAGTTAGTAAAAGAATGTACAAATTAACCTTGTGTTTTGAATTGCTGTATCTTTATGAAATATAACCACTCAAACAAAATCATTTGGTATTTGATCACTAGTCTCTTCAGAAATCCATCGTTTGTACATTTTGTAAACGTGAATTTAACAGTGATGAGAATCGATCTTGACATTTTAGGTAACTATATGTTATCACGATAATGCAATAAGACGAAGGTTATCAGAATTATGTAATATATTTGAGCAATACATTTCAAACAATCTGATCACACATATACTTGTTAAGACATTTTTATACGAAAAATAAGAGGTTGACTAGACAGATTAATGATAAACCATAACAAAGAAAAATAAAGTATATAAAACATTATTATAACCACTCTGGATAATAAATCAGTATTACCAGGGTAGGTTCTGTGTATCTGAATTTATATGGATTACCAAAAATTCATAAGCCTAATACCCCCTTACGTCCAATCCTATCAGTGTGTCAGTCACCTACACACAACCTTGTAAAATGGCCGAAATCAATTTTGTAGGTATTCCTTGATTGAATCATTTGGATTAATTAAGTACTTAATGGATATGAATATAAAGACAAACACAATGTGCTCCTTTGATGTAAATACTTTATTTACAAATGTACCTCTTGGGAAAACTATTGATATTTTGTGACTATATTTCATTGAATAACCTTGCATTACCATTTCCTGTTAAAACTCCTAAAGATTTAGTATTATTGTGTACTGACAATGTGAAATCCATTTTTAAGGGTGAGCACTTTCGACAAATCGATGGCGTAGCTCTGGGTAGCCTTTTAGAACCGTTGCTATCTGATGTGTTCATGGGATATGTTGAAGATCTAATTGAAGACTCAATTCGAAAGATGTGTCTGTATAAACGGTACGTTGATGAGACCATAATCATGGAGGGTAAACGTGAAGGTGTGAAGCGCCTGTTGAAATAATTCAAAAGCATATTTCCCTTAAATACGAAGAAGAGAAGAATAACCAACTTTCTTTTCTAGACATACTGATTAGTAGGAGAGATTATGGTTCCATCAAACGTTCTGTATATAGAAAGACAATATGGATAGGGCAATATTTTAATTTCCATGGTCATTGCCCAATTCATTACAAACGTGGATTAATAAGGGATTTACTTAATGGAATCAATCATATTTGTACTAACGATATTATTGAAGTAGAGACGAAGCTCTTAACTGAAACATTAGTGAATAATGGTTATTCATCGAAGTGTATAAACCTTGAAAGGGTTGCAATACGATTAGACCTATGACACTTTTATCACCCAGAAAGAGAGTTTACATTATGTTACCATTTAGTGGCGACTCAAATAGTCT